AGGCTCATTAAAGACAAAATTATTATATATACAGAACTGCATGTACACCCCACTGCAGCAGCTGCTGCAGTATCCTGCTGCACTTACTTACGGTCTATACACCCGAATAGTGCCTAGACACCTGGCGCTTGTTAATGAATTCTTAATAAGAGTGCATGCACGCAGAAAGCCCCATTCAATTGATGAGGGTTTAGAGGCTCGGGTGTATAGGCAGTTCGCTAAGGATAAAGATATATGGCAATATAGGGAGCAGCTGCTGCAGCAGCAACCGTTGGATGTAGCAAGACGGCGCATGCATCGTTTTTTGCTGCAGCAGCAGCAGCGACTGCAACGACAGCAGCAGCAGCAACAGGAGCAGCAACAGGAGCAGCAACAGCAGGAGGATGGGGAGGATGAGGAGGAAGAGGAAGAAATAGAAGTAAATAAAGATAATTCTTCTTTTTCCTCCTTACTCGTCCTACCCCTACTACACCCAATAAGAGGATGGAGAGGACTCACTGCCTTCCATCCTTATTGGCTTCCTCCTCTCCCTCCTCTTCGTCTACTGCTGGGATCGAACGATCCCACATTCTGTAAAATGTTCAATATTCCATATAGAAGACTTCTTGAGGCAAAACATGATGCACAACAAGTCCCAAACCCTCAAAGAATCTTCTAAACCCTAAACACTTATTTATCCTCTTTCTAATAAGGGGTTATACTCTAGGGTTTAGGGTTTAGGGTGTGGTTCTAGGGTTTAGAGGGTTTAGAGGGTTTACTTGTCGAGGGAAGTCCAATGCACCATCAAACCCTCTTATAAACCCTAAACCCTAAACCCTAATAAATGCTCTTTCAAACAAGGGGTTACATCCCTAGGGTTTGTAGGGTTTGATGGGCTTTTAGGGTTTATATAGGGTCTCTGTGGGGTGTACATACACCTCGACACCGCTATTTATTTATTTAAATCTTTTTTATTACCTCAGCTGTACGTACACCTCAATTGTCCTACCAGTTGCCCCCCATTGCAAAATATACGAGGCAACGAACTCGTCCCCCAAATATAGATAAATAGCTAGCCAGCTAGCTAGCGAGCTAGCTAGCGAGCTAGCTAGCGAGCTAGCTAGCTAGCCAAGTCCAACAGCAGTTACCTAGCTAGCCGGCCCTGCGGACTCAACCGGGGGACAGACGCAGCATCTGCGGTGCCAACTCTGTTCAAAGTCAGCTAACTAGCTAGCTCTCTAGCTAGCTGTCTAGCTAGCTAGTTGCCTAGCTGGCTACCTGCCTAGCTAGCTAGCTAGCTAGTCTAGCGAGGTGACACTGTGAAGGCAGCTGGTGACTAGCAGCTGCAGTAGTATGAATGGCTGCAACAAGCACATAGGAAGCTGTACCTAGCTAGCTAGCTAGCTAGCTAGCTAGCTAGCCGTAGCTAGCTAGGCTCGGACATCTACAGCTAGCTAGCCAGCTAGCTAGGTAGGTAGAGGAGGTCGTAGTGTCCCGGCCGATAGAGAAGTTTAACGGATGGTCCTTCCGATTCACAAGGGAAGACGTGACGTACTGCAACAAACAAATACATCAGGGTTTAGGGTTTAGGGTTTATTAGGGTTTATTAGGGTTTATTAGGGTTTAAGGATTCTCCAGTTAGCTAGGGTTTCCAATGGTTTACTAGGGTTTATTCGATTATATGAGGGTTTAGGGTTTCGGGTTTCCTAGGGTATAAAGGTATATTAGGGTTTAGGGTTTAGGGTTTCTTTAGGGTTTAGGGTAAATTAGGGTTTATTATACCTGGTTGTGTATGATTAGATTGATCAACATAATAAACCTCGCATGTAAACCCTAATGCACTAGATAAGGCAAAGATTTGTGGCTCATTAGCAGCAACAAACATAGGCTCAACTTCTTTTTTTATAAAAGAAATTAGGGTTTCTCCTTCCTCCATAAATGGTAAATAATGATCTTCTTCGCTCTTTAATTCACTCGCTGTAGCTAGTCTGCAACATATATAAACCCTAAACCCTAAACCCTAAACCCTAAACCCTAATTTTATATTTCAAGAAATATGGAAAGGGTTTTGAGGCATCAGCAGAACCTAAACCCTAATAAACCCTAAACCCTAATATACACTAATAATAACACATTTCACCATCTAAGGGTTTACGTATACTTTAGGGTTTAGGGTTTAGGGTTTAGATATTAGGGTTTAGGGTTTAGGGTTTAGGGTTTACCTAGCAAATACAACAAGATAATTAGATGTAGATGGATCATTAAATATTTCCTCTAAATCAGATAAAGTTGAATCAGGAGAAGATATCTTCTCTAATGCAGCAAATACCTCTGCAACACAAACCCTAAACCCTAAACCCTAAACCCTAGGAAACCCTAAACTCTAATATAAACTGGGTAAAGTTGAATCAGGAGAAGATATCTTCTCTAATGCAGCAAATACCTCTGCAACACAAACCCTAAACCCTAAACCCTAGGAAACCCTAAACTCTAATATAAACTGGGTAAAGTTGAATCAGGAGAAGATATCTTCTCTAATGCAGCAAATACCTCTGCAGCATAAACCCTAAATCCTAGTAAACCCTAAATCCTAGTAAACCCTAAACCCTAGTAAACCCTAAACCCTAATATAAAGTAGATAAAGTTGAATCAGGAGAAGATATCTTCTCTAATGCAGCAAACGCCTCTGCAACACAAACCCTAAACCCTAAACCCTAATAAACCCTAAACCCTAAAAGCTTTAAATATGCTCACCATCAACGAACTCCTCTGTAGATTCCTTGGGGTACCTACACAACAAACAAACAAACAAACAAACAAACAAACAAACAAACCCCTCCAACCCAACCAACAGGAGCAGCAACAGCAGCAGCAACAGCAGCAGCAGCAACAGCAGCAGCAGCAACAGCAGCAGCAGCAACAGCAGCGGCAGCACAAACAGCAGCAGCAGCAGCAAAAGCCTCAAATGTCCCCAATCAATATAACCACAACCAGGGCCACCACCATCATCAGCACAAACCGGAGCCCAAACAGCAGCAAAAACAGCAGCAAAAACAGCAGCACAAACAGCAGCAGCAGCAGGAGGAGGAGCAGCAACAGGAATAAATAAATAAATTACCCTGTCCTCTCCATCTTTGGTAAAATAATTTGTTGAATTTTTTGAATAAAATTTTGAATTTTTTTTTTGTTGAAAAAAAAAAATTCGAAAATTCCAAAAAAAAATGAACGATAAAAACAGCAACCATCTCTTCTTATTTTTCTTATCATTGCTTCCTGCTGCTGCTGCTGCTGCTGCTGCTGCTGCTGCTGCTGCATTTGCTGCACTTGCTGCTGCTGGTGATGGTTGTTGTTGTTGTTATTGTCCTGATGCTGCTGGTTGTGATCATTATTTTGATTACCTTTTTGTATAAGGAAATGAATCTTCTTACTCGCGTTACTCCCCTCAATAAATTCATGAATTAATTCTCTAAGAGGAATTCGCGGTGATACAAATAATTCTTTATTTACTTCTATTTCCCATTCCTCTTTTTCTCCTGCTGCTGCTGCTGCTGCTTCTGCTGCTTCTGTTGCTGCTACTTCTGCTGCTGCTGCTGATGTTCTTGCTGATAAGGAGGAATCCTCTGCTGCTGATGCTGCTGCTGCTGCTGATCCAGTTGAGGGAGAGGAAGAAGATGATGATGCTTGTTGCTTATCAGGCACAACATCTGTACATACACCCGAATCGTTTGACATAGGGACCCTCATTGGATCCTCTCCTGTTGGGGACCCCATGGTGTTTTGTTCCTGTTCCTGCTGCTTCTGCTGTTGTTGTTGTTGCTGTTTTGCTGCTGTTGCTCCTGTTGCTCCTGCTGTTGTTGCTGTTTCTGCTGCAGTCAACGAACACTCCTGCTGTCAGTGGTAAGACATACACTGTACAGGGGGTGAGTTAGGGGGGGGTTGTAGTTATAAAGGATAATAAAGGATTAAATAATGAATAAAATATATTTATTTAGTCATAAATAAAGAAGAAAAAAGTAGGGAAGGAGACGAAGGAAGAGAAATGGCGCCAGCTGTATATGCATGCATGCATATTTAGCTATGATATGCTGCATGCAGACCAAGGTGCACATACACCTCAATATACAAAAAATAGAATAAAATAAAAGGAATTGATCATTTATTTAGGTAATTAACTGCGTTTTGTGATTAAAAGGATAAAAATAAACAAAAAACAACCAAATTATACGTAAAATTTAGTAACGAATACCCAGGCGTGCTGCGGTGTCTAGGCAGCTCGTCGTTAGGTGCTTATTCAATTAATTATTTCTATTACTAAATAAAATAAATTATTAATTTATTTTTATTACTTGTTTATTTATTTATTTATTTTACTGTATTTATATTTCTTTTTATTTTACCCTACCCCTTTATATATATATTACATAATTTGTATATTATATGTATAGATAAGGAAAGATAATATAAATAAATATAAATAAATAGTACTATAAATATAATTAATTATTATGTAATAAATAGTATATATAGTATATTATATAAAGTACTATTTATTTATATTTATTTATACTATATATAATATATATTATTATTTTTTTTATACGTAATATTATTCATTATAATACAATATATTATTATTATAGCATACTTAAATATTATATATTATATTACGCACATATACATATACGCACATATACATATATTTATTTATTTATTTATTTATTTATTTATTTATATAAGATAGTGTGTTTGTTGGGGTGTACATGAAGAAATAATTCTATCGTAGTTCAAAGACCAAAACCCTAAACCCTAAACCCTAAACCCTGAATTGTTGCAAACAGGCTGTCCTATAGAGGGTGCTATTGTTTAATCCTCTTCCTTATAAACAACTATATAATATATATATTTATATATAATATATATATTATATTATATATGTATATTATTTAATATATATAATGTTGTATATAAAATATAAAAATAAATAATTATATTTTTATATTATAAATTTATATATATATTAT